TGAGGTATACAAAATTTTGAATAACCCAGTAGTTAATAATACTGTTGTTTTGCATCAGTTAAAAAAATGTCCTACACAAACCCTTGGTTCATATGTTGTCTTTCACTGTTGGTCAACTAAAGGTCTCCGATGACTTATATGAAAATGAAGTCTTTTCATCTTTTTCATCCCTGTCAGCTAAATTCAACCTGCCTAATACTCATCTTTTTCATTTTTCAAAATTTTATTCAAAAGCTGTACTTAATCATTTTTTTACTCTTGACCCTGGCCAAAAATGGCTAATATCTATTATTTATGTTAAAATGAGTTCCTTATCCCCATCTCACTCATTTAATGACAAACAACAGACACAGTGGGGGTGGTGTCAGGCCAAACATAAATAGAACATAAAAGTTCAAAACAGGGAAAAAATTGTCCAAGAGGGGTGGCCAAGGGGTGTCCAAAATGAACAGTGGGTATGGTGTCCTCATTGTGCAGGGGATTTGTGAAGAAGAGACAGTGTTCAGTCAGGAAGGGTCCAGGGCAGAGGGCGGGGTCTGGAGGCCACATGCACTTACAGAAGCTCATCTTACCAGGCCTGTGGTGCTTGCAGTGAATAGTGACCCGGCATCCTAGCCGGTCTATGGCGTTACGCATGATTCTCCAATCCGGATCATGGTACCAGCGACTCACATCTCTGGTGGTGAACAAGCTCCTTCGCATTCCCTTCCTGGACCCACGAGGATACCAGCATGCATGCATGGGGGAAAGAGACCGGAGATCATTTGCATTCACATACACCTACATTACACACTGCATGAAAAAAGGCAATTTTTGAAATGGCATAATAAAAGCACGTTAAGGACTCTTATTTTGTAATGTTTTGGTTACTATTGATTCTGTGTTTGCTTCATGTGTTCAGTTCCTCTTTGCCTTGTGCCTGGTTTATTCCCATAGTTACCCTTGTTTGTCGCTATAGTTACCATGCCAACTAATGGTTTTCTTGTCTATATAACCCCCAGTGTTTTCCCATGTAATTTGTCAGGTCTTGCAGATCAGAGATATTTCAGAGCCGCTCAGTTTGTGTATGCCACTGTGGCATCCTAACTAGATGCTGGAGTATTATATCGACTTTGCACTGCAACTGAGTGGCTTTGCATTTACTGTGGAAGTCGCAGAGGAGGAAAGTGGCACTCCCCCAGTAGCCCCCTAGTACCTTGTCCCATCATGGCTGCCACTCCAGAGCCTTGTCCCATCATGACCACCACTCCAGATTTTCGTCCCGTCATCACCAGCGCCTTGTCCTGTCATGGCAGCCACACCAGAGTCCCCAGCTGTCATGGCCATCACGCCAGAGTTCCTATGTCCACCTTTGCAGAATGTACAGCCAAGGTGAATGGTAGAAATCAGCACAAGCGGCAGGTTAGTCTGGTTAGTCTGTTGGTATCTAGTGCTCTCAATCCCAGCGGACTCTGCTCTCAAGCCCCGTGGACTGTAGTCCTGTTATGCAATGCCCGATGGTCCCAAAGGTCCTTCCACCATTGGCTGTGCTTTTTACGATGGCTGTCGCCATCTTATGTCTGTGGGCTGCATACACTTCTCTTGACCCTCCCGAGGTGGCAACCGCCTTTGAACCCTTTGCCTGTCCTGTCACAGCCAAAGAGGCCGTCTCTGAACCCTCTGCATGTTCTGCCATGGCCAAGGAGGCCATTCTCAAGCTCTCTGCCTGTTATATAACGACCACGGAGGGCATCCCTGAACTCTCTGCCCTGTCCTGCTACAGCCACAGAGGCCATTTCTAACCTCTGTACGCTCTGTGTTACAGTTCTGCCTGACCCACTGTGGTGGTTTACTGCTCCACCTGATCCACCGTGGTGGTCTTCTGCTCCATCTGCTCTGCCTCAATGGTCACCTGCTTTCCCTGAGCCACCTTGGTGGTTTCTAGCTCTGCCTGCTCTGCCATGGTGGACTTCAACTCCATCTGCTCCACCATGAGGATCCTCAGTCCCATCTGATCTGCTGTGGTGGTCTTCTGCTCTGCCTTGGGGATGTTTGATCCCATCTGCTCGGCTGTGGTGATCTTCTGCTCCACTGTGGGGATCTTCGGTCCTGTCTGCTCTGCTGTAGTGGTCTTCTGCTTCACTGTGGGTGTTTTCAGTCTCATTGGCTGCGCCCTGACCACCTGCTTCGCCGAATCCACCCTGGCCACCTGCTCTGTCGGCTCCTCTCTGGCCCTCTACCCCACTAGCTCCACCCTGGCTTCTTGCCTGACTGGCTCTGTCCTGGACACCAGCTCCTCCAAGACCACCTTGGCTCACACATTGGCTCGGTGGTTAGCATTGTTGTCTCACAGCAAGAAGTTCCCTGGTTCAAGCCCAGGCAGGGACAGGAGGCCTTTCTGTGTGGAGTTTGAATGTTCTCCCTGTGTCAGTGTGGGTTTATGCCGGGTACCTCGGTTTCCTCCCACAGTCCAAAGACATGCAGATTAGGTGAATTGAAGATTCTAGATGTTGCCTTATTGGGACAACAAAGCCCTCCCTTTAGGCTGCCTACCCCTAATTAACACATTATTATTAAACACTCGTTAGGCAATTGATTTCCACTTTTCCTAAGTGATATGTGATGAGAAAAGGAACAAAAGTGAGTCTGCATTCAAACCCTAGCTGATGGCATCATATGCTACATCCATGTGCATTACTCTCCAACCTTCGCCACTGCAGACACTATTTGGCACTATCCAACAAGATAAATGATGAGTTTATTCTCAACATTTTATTTGGACTTTTTTTCTTGAAATTTAATGAGTTTAATCTTTATAATGACTTTAATCTCGAGATGGTTTTTTGCTTGCCCTAATCCTCTTCTGTATATACTGTATTCATCATGCTGTTCGGAAATATAACCATAAAACTTAAACATTACTCATGTTAGCATGAGACTGATATGACAGAAATATAATGGTTAAATTTATATGGCATGGGATTTTAAGTAACTGTAAGCTGAATGTAACCTAAAGAAAATAACCAGATTAATAAGTAAACACTGGAGCTAATTGACAGGTCTGTTATATAAATGTTCATGATAAATGTTCAATGTTATATTTTCTTCTGTGAATTAGTGGGTTGAGCTGATTATGTTGGAGCTTGCATCTGGCTGAATGAATATTTAATTGCCTTAATTTACTAATTAGCAGATTATGTGAGGTATCACAGAGAGACTCCAGCAGTTACCCATTCGACCTCCTGCCTCTTCCTTCTCTCCTCTTCCTCTATTATCTTCCGTTTTCTCTGTCTGAGCCTGACATCTGTCAGTTTACATCCTATCTCTCTCTCAGTCCCTCCCCCTCCGCCTGCAGATATCTGTCTGCTCTGTTAAGATGCTTTTACAGACGATTATTGTCCCTGTCCATGGGATCAAATCTATGAGGCACAAAAGAGCTCAGATCATGAGGTTTAATGCTGTAGCGTATTTTAGAGCTATACATACATTTTGGGGTTAGTGAATTAGAATTAGAAATGTCCAGAAATTATTTAAATGATAGTTTAAGACCATGTTGAATGCCTATTTTTGACACAACAGGAGTTGTCATTAAATCCTTACACACTAATGATTCATGCTTCATTCTTCCTGACCCACTGAAGTGTTTAAAATATCTTCCATGATCAGTCTCAGTAGATAAGTCACTTAAATCCACATAATAATTTTATTTTTGGCCTTAATATAGATATTGTGGTGTGATAGTCTAGTGGTAACATCTATGCTTTTTGGCTTTGTATATTTCCCAGTTCTAATTCCGCCCACATATAACTTACAAAATGCAGATATGTGTGTGAATATCAATAGTGGCGATACATTTGCTTTTATCATTTTGCTTTTATTGTTTTTTGACTTTACAAGAATGGATAGCGAGCTGTTGCCGCTCCAGAAAAATGTAGATTGGATTGAGTATCTATGTGGCTGTTCAAGAGAGAACATCATACTCTTGCCTTCGGCCAAAGAGCACAACATTAAAAATAACAAATTCCAGTGCTGGATCGTCACTCATTATAACACATGAAAATTCTGCTCGGTCACCATTGTCAGACTCTGTTCCATGTGTTGTGTGTGTCCTGCTCCCCATGTGCCTTCCCATGCCCTTATTTGATTAGTTTCCTGTTCCTCCCCTGATTAGTTTAGTTCATTTGTCCCAGGTGTTCCCCATGATGTGTCATTGCTCCCAGGTGTGTCTCGTGATCCCCTCCTCCTGTGTGTATAAATAGTGTTCCCAGTCCCTAGTTCTCTGTCCGCTGTTGAACGTCTTCCTGTGTTCGTCTCCCTTGGTTCCTTGGTTCCAATAAAGTCCTGTTAAAAGCATTCTCCAGCGTCTCCTCGTCCCTCGTGTGTGTGACATCGTGACAACCATGGTCTTTGTGCAAGGGTCCCACTTTTTTGATCACACAGAACAGAAGGAAACAGTTGTAACAGTGTAAATGTCAAGCTACAAATACATAAAAAATATCTGTATTAAACATACTCAAAACTTCTGCAAGCCTAATTACTTAATGCAAGCCTAAAGTGATTTGGGTTGCACTTTATTTTACAGTGTGTGTGCACTTACAGTGTACATAACTAAGAAAGTACTGGGTAATATAAGGTAACTACATGGTTAAGGATATATTTGGGGTAGGTTCAGGGTTAGTACCAGTTGTTACCCAGATATTGTAATTACTATGATAAATACATACAGCAAAATGACTGTAAAAATAAAAGTGCTAGCTTAATTTTGAATAACAAATGGAAAATGAAATAAAACCTAAAATAACCTTGCAGGATACAGATATGTGATGTTTTTAAAACCCGCTGGAAGAAGATGTAGGCAGGACTAAGCACAGACTCAAAGAGTCTGCTGGGTGAGTGGAGGATTAAAATTGGTTATATGGGGAGCGAGAGAGGATGGATGGAAGGAGGGAGGGGGCTGGACAAACCACACAAATCATTGAGAATCATACACACACTGTGGCATTTACTCAGAGTTTAGAGTCAGCAGCGCCCTGCTCCTGCAGTCTGATAACATTTTTGCTCACGTTTATGTTGAAACTGAGTTTGAGGGAATAATTTCCACACTCTCAACATCTGTCTGAACATCAGTGTGTGTGTCAGCAGTGACTAGGTGAGTGATCTCTCGTTCTGTCTTTGATGTGTGTTTAATGAGTGCGTTACATTAGTCATTGATGGAGCACAACCTTTCTATTCTTTATGAGTCTCAAAGATGTTTTGGTGAGGTTTAAGCTTGCTTTTGTGGAAGCTTGTCTTTGTCATGGTACTGTCATTTACAAGTTGCATCTTCTATACATTTTATTCAGCATCTGTTTCTACATTTTCTTTGTGGCTGGGGACGAGATAACAGAACTCATCAACTCGTGATGTCAGTATGTCAGTGACTTCTAACTGCCTGAATAGATTAACATGAAGAACTGAATCATTAATACATTAATAAGCATCTGTCCTTCTCCGGGTCACTAATTTCTCTTTCGCTCTGATTTGTCACTGTCAAATTTTTAAGTTACCTAAGCATTTTTAAATTGTTGATACCCTTCATATCAAAAGTGGGCCAAGCTGCTCTTTAATGCATTTTTTAGTGTGGGTAGGTTGCATAATGGTTGTGCACAGGCAGTATATGTGGTTTTGCCTACATAGCCTTCAGGATAATAAAACCTGAAGTTTGACATTGTGAGAACCAACAAACATTTCCAACTGTTAAAAAAATACAAATTAAATATCTTAATCTTATTTAAATAGTTTGTGTGAGGGTTCAGGCCTGTTCATACCAAGATAAATGTTTATCGCTCTAATTTGTTGAGATAAGCATGTTCATTTGGATTGCCACTTGCTAATATGAAAATAAACAAAAATAAATAAATAAATAAAAAATAGAAAGGATTGAACAGCTGTTTGAAAACACAAATACTACTTGACTTCTTTTATTCCTCTTTGTGACAAGTAGATGTCAGAAACTGACAGCCTGTTCAGCCTGTCTGCAGTTTTTTTTTTTTTTTTTTTTCATTAATCTGACCAAACAAATGCATGCTGAAATTGAAAGGAATTTTTCATCTTTGTGTGCACAGGTCAGTGTTATGGGATAGATGTTGCATGGCAGTATCTCTCTACCCAAGCCTCGAAATACAACAATGCAAAACAGTAATGTAATGTGTAACTGTAATGCATTGTAAATAAACTCTTGCAGTTCAGACTCCACATCTGCACTGGCTATGCATGTCCCAGATTTTGTATCTTCAAATGAAAAGCTAACATGGTGCTTCAACTCTACTGAATATCAAATATGTGAAGTACAAATGCCTCAGGCACAATGAGCTGCATGAGCAGTCTGTGGAAGGTCCTGCGATAGTGTAAACCAGGCTTAAATGAACACTAAATGAAAAGCACACTGAGCACCTCCCATGATGGCTCTGAGTTCAGTTTTGAAACTACTTTCTGCCCCAATGTGTGTACTATCCACCCTAAATAGTTTGTGAGGTTAGAGTAGGTTTGTCCCAAAGCAAAGTATGTTGAAAAGAGCCAAATGCCAAAAGTCCCCAGATGGTCTAGTATTTCCGGTATGTTTTCGAAGTGACCTACGACTGACAATTAAACATGCTACTTGTTTTCCTCCAATATGGTAGCAAGAATTGTTTGAGGTAAATTTTATGACATAAAATGTGGAGTGTGTATACAAGGCATGAAGCATGACATTGTAATACCAAAACTACTCATCTGCTCACTCACTCACTCACTCACTCACTCACTCAAAATTATCACATTTATTTTCTCCCAAAAGGAGGACATTATTTTACGGAATAGCATAAGTAGGGACATTGGCATGCAGCACTCGATTTGTTTGTTTTCTGGTGTCTTATTGACCAACCTCAACTTTCTGTGTTTGGAGAATTACGGGCTTACATGCTGGACGTATTGGCAGATTCACTGGCCTTTTACTAACTTGGCAATTCTACTATTATCTTGGGTTACTGTTACAGGCTGTTTTGTAGAATGCAAAAGACACTGTAATGTTTACTGGTATTTGAAAGAAAAAGTTTACAATAATTACAAAGATGTTTGATTTGAATGGGATTAAAATTACAAACGAAGCTCTGGTAGCGATTACGGTATCCCACCTCCCCATGTAAAACGAATCCCATCTGGATAGAGCTTTATGGCTTGTTTCCACTGAGAGGTACGGTTCGGTACTATCATTTATTCCTGGTCATATCGTTTTGGCTGAGCACAAAGTTATGTTTAACTTTATGTATTTATTTGGAACTTTACCGTATTACAGCGCTGACTTTGTAGCATACGTTTGACTGAACTATTTGCTTTTGTCTTTATTTCCTCTTATATAAGCCTCTTATACTTTGTACTTATACTTT